TCTGGTGAGCTGTCTCTGTCATCTGCATCATGTCGGTCATACTTGCGTAGCGTGCGTCTGCCTGGTGTGCTGTTTATGTCATGTTTCCCGTCTTGCACCAGCTCCGCCCTTTCCCGCTCTATCATTACAGTGTATCCTGATGACTTAGGGTTAATTATTTGTCTCTCTCTAACGTTGGGGTGGTCGGCCTCATGTTTTCCCGTTTGTATTATTATTTCCTCTTCTCTCTCCTCGATTTGCGAGGGTGTTACTTTATCAAAATTGCTTTGCATAGTAGCCATACTCATTGTGGGATCTGGCCCTGGGCTACGTCCACGTGGCTCGGAGTGTGGTAAATTGTTACTCCCGTATGTGTTCTGTGTATCAACGTCTGGGTGTTTCACTGGTGCATTTAGTGCGGATTCTTTCTCTCTCACGAGGGCGTGCAGACGCTCTACCTGCACCATTAAGGACAGTTTCTCTTGTCTCTCCCTTTCAAATTTTTCCTCATTCCATAATCTTTCTCTGTCTGTCTGTGCGAGGAGATACGAGTCTACCCTCGCTATTTCTGCAATTTTTACGTCACGTTTGGCTTTGCCACATTTCATCACGTCCTTAAGTAGTTTCCTTCTATGGGCCTTAACATCTTCTGTATGGCTCCCCTCCCATATATCTCTCTGCTCCGTCTGCTGGCTAGCAGTCCGTCCAGTACGTTTTAACACAAATTCCCGATATTGTTTTTCCATAGATTCCATCTCCTCCTCAGAGGTCCACTCTGTATCAGTGTTATGCGTTGGTGTGTCAAACTCAGAATGTTGTGGATCCTGTGCCATCTCTATTATGTAGTGTGGTTAATAGACTTAAGAGTGTATCTTAATTCTAACATCTCATGTGCGTCGTGAGTTACTCTAGAATTCCCCTTCAGAGCACATATAAACAATTGTATCACAGGATGCGTCAGTTCAACTCGAGCAAATAATCTCAGCCCAGCTGTCTTTGTTATACTCTGCTACTCTGGTATTTCCCTTCAGAGCGCGTTTTGTTTGTATACCCCCGTTTACAATCACAAGGCAACGTTAGTTCACAACACTTTGATTAACACATCAGTGATTCGTTCCTGAATTCATGCATAAACCGTCTGCGAGAGATCCCGGAAGACGAGCCCCCATTATGTTGTATATGTTGGGTTATGAAAATTTGTTATGTTGTATGCGTGCGTGGGTGAAATTATTATGTTGTATATGTGGGTTATGAATATTCAGTGAAAATAATAATAATTAAATGAAATTTGGCCAAATGTGTAATTATCCGGAAATATGTTAATTTATATAATTACGCACATTTTAATTATGCCAATTCGAGAGGTAATCGGATTAATTATGCGAGTGGGTGTAATTATGATAATACAAGTCGTTATGATAACCAGACCCCGCCTCGGTGACGAGGGTGGGTTATCGATCGGAAGAAGGCAATTAATCGTATGCAGTTATGCGGGTGTGGTGTAAGTATGCAAGATTAACTTAGATTAACTCGGCATCGTTGTCTAGGTTCGTCTCATTCTCGCTTTAACATTCCCAGAGTTTATTCGTGGTTATATTTTTAGGTCCCCGGTTCACCCCGTTATCGCTTTAACATTTACTGAGTATGTATTAGTGTGTTTATTAAGGTCACCAAGTTCAAATCTCAACGCAGAAGCAGATCTTATGCATAGATTTCAGGAAAGAATCACACAACCACTTCTGTATTGATCAATTTATTACTAATTCAACCTTAACTATGATATAATATGCGAACTCTCAATCCCGGAACGTCAACACGGCATCAGTACAGTATCATCAACGATTGTCTGATTTCACTTTGACAACTGCACATGGATCCCGCATAACGCGATGGTTGTTAGTGAGAGAGAGAGTCGTTAAAACACGCAAATACTATGCTAAGAAAACCTTAATGTTAATGAATGATTATACTCAATATTGTTCATAACGCGATGGTTGTTAGTGAGAGAGAGAGTCGTTGAAATATGCAAATACTATGCTAAGAAAACCTTAATGTTAATGAATGATTATACTCAATATTGTTCATAACGCGATGGTTGTTAGTGAGAGAGAGAGTCGTTGAAATATGCAAATACTATGCTAAGAAAACCTTAACGCTAATGAATGATTATACTCAATATTGTTCACGCAGTACCACACTCCTTATTGACCATACGCAACCCTTATCACGTTGTTAGCACCTTGGGTCACGGGACAGTTGAATATTTGTAGAGGATGCGAGTACGTGCGGCGATTATGATTAAAAGATACTTGAAAGATTATACGGCGATAAAAAAAAACACAATCAAAACAGTTATTATTCTTAAAGGCACCAATCTCAACAGATACATCGGCAGGTTATCTGACAACAGAACGGCTCGGAGTAAGGGCCTGCGACGGTGCTCCTTTTCCGAAGCTCGTTATCTTATACCAAGTTTACTAATTGGGGACCAGATCACCTGATAAGGGTCCGGTGGGCCACCATTCCCCACGTGAGCGTGGCTCGGCGGAAGGAGGTGCCAAGAATCAGTTCGTATTGATGGATCTGTTGGGAATTTATGCGATTAAGAGTACAGCCCACTAAATATTAAAGATAAAAATTAAGAATACTCTTATAAGAGACGGAGGGCCATCACTCGGTCTCGTTGTGATGCTTTCCAGCCACGGATGGCTTATGGGTTCGAGTGTTTTTGAGTGGTAAGAGTTGTCTTGAATAGTCAGTGTTCGGAGTCGATTCTTTAGGTCAAACAGACGCCTGGTGGTCGTGTGGTGAGGGGGCGGTGCGCGTCATACGTATCAGTCGATCCCCTGTCACCGTGGCGAATTGGTTCGGATGGCTGTTGATACGCTGTCGCAGTTCGGAACCCGGTCGGTAGGTGGCGCCCACAACTCGCTCGTAGCGTGCAGCGCTGGATCGTCGCCAAACCGCAACGATCACCACTCCGGCGGCAGCAGAGACCTCCGGCGGCAGCAGAGATTGACGAGCTGAAGATGAGTCGAGCCGACCCGCTGGTCGCAGCTCGCTCCTGAGTCGACCCTCCCGGTCGAGCTCGCTCCTGGGTCGACCCGCTGGTCGCCCTCGCTCCTGAGTCGACTCTCTGGTCGCACTCCTGAGTGGACCCGCTGGTCGCACTCCTGAGTGGACCCACTGGTCGCACTCCTCCTGAGCCGACTCTCCCGGTCGCGCTCCTGAGTGGACCCTCTCGTCACACTCGTTCCTGAGTCGACCCTCCCGTCGCACTGATTTCCAATGCTCAGGATCCTTTACTTTATGCCGAAAATTCCCCCTGGATCCCGCCCACAAGGCGGGGCTTCTTCCGATTTTTGCTGTGTCAGGATCTGTCCGTAGGCAGGTGTGTCCATGTGTCTGTCCGTATGTCCGTGTGTCCTTGTGTGCATCACTGACGGTATATTCGTTGTCACACTCCCTCCATAAACCCACGAGCAAACAATCAGATGTTACAAATTGCCTCGAGGTCGTCTCTCTGTCTGGGTGCAATATTATCTCTTGTCTGGCCTTCTTCATGAACCCAAAACACAGACGTTACAAATGTCTCATAGGCGTCTTTGTTCGTGTTGCACAACCTGGAGGGAGGGGCAACACTCTCTCCGACCCGGCGCACAAAGAAATGGTTAAAAAGTTTTAAGTTAACATTTGTCCCTTACTATTTCACAGTTATGATTCTGTATGTAACCTAAGGTCTGTCGTTTCCCATCGTGGTGCTTGACTCAAGTGTAGGTGTTTCCCCGAGCGTATACACACTCCTATCCCGCGCTGCGGGGATACAAAGACGGCCGGGATCTCCCTTTCTCTCCGACCCTGGGTTTAACATCGTTTTTTTTTATTATGTATTATATTCGACCTGGTTGTGATTCATCCCGTTATCCTGGCTTTTCCATAAGTTTTACTTTGTCTTTTCATGCATATACTTATTACTATTAATTTATTTCCGATATCTTAGGTTAAGGGGTAAGTTTCTTGATCCTAGGAATTCGTATTCCTTGGTGCCTGCATGGTTATATAAGCGGAATATAGTTTACGGTGAATAGCGTTAACATTGATGTTATATGCGATATTATGTATTGTGATGTCTTTAACTTAACTTGTTTGTCAGAGCTTTACTGACACGAAGTTGCATTTCATAGTCCCGCAGTCTTTGCCCCACCCTATCTCTGCTCGCCGTTGTTGTTGCCGTCCAGCTGAGCCGTTAACTCAAGGCCTCATTAATTTCCGTCCCTCCTGAGTAGGTGAGGGCGGTTGAACCTTGGAGTCAGTTCTGGTTTTTGTCTGCCTGCTTCTTCTTGTGTCCCCTGACCCCGGGAGTTATTATTCTACTTTATGGCCTGTCGAAGCCCCACTCGCTGTTGCTGGGCTGGTGTTGTTCCCGGCTTTTTGCTTACGTTTGCAGTTCGCCGTGCTCTTGATTTCCTTCCCTCTTCAACCTTATATCGACTATTCGCTCCTGTCTGGGTGCGATTCAATTTTGACTTAGGAAGGTTCTGATTGTCATATGCTTCGGGTCGAGTTGTATAGAAAGTATTAAAGTATGGAAATAACATTTCATATTGACTTAATAATGGTGATGGTTCAGTAGGCGTAACTTGTGGCCTGGTTTAATTGGAGTGGGTGTGAATATCAATAACTTTAGCCTACCCTGTTGTTGAATTTCGAATTTTGACGTTACTTTAAAACCATGCAGGATAGTTGGGCTCTTTGCCTTAACTATGTCTGGCTGACACTCCCACTGTCTCTGCCCTTGCACGGGTGACATGTGCCCGTTCATCAGGCCTTATCTTCCCTTGAAGCAAGGTTGCAAATTCTGCCATCCTAGCCCTCCTCCAGTTCATTACTTAACAACACCTGGTGTTTTGCAGTTTGGTGCTTTTTGGTGTGTTCCACTCATAAAAAAAACAAGTAAAAAGATAATATATAAAAATCATCAAATATTATTAATCTCAATTATGGAAGAAGGGTTAGGATACAACAATATGCAGCTACTGCCCAATAACTGTTAACTTGTATTGTCAACAATTACCATGAATACCTGTCATGTGTTTCTCTGTTCAAATGAGCAATGGGTGGTGGTTCATGTCTGTGGTCCTCAGCCAGTGGTGGAAATTCTACATTCCTTTTGTGTGAGGTCAATCACTAGACAGGACAGCCACTAATCCAAAGCAGTACTTATTTTATTGACACTGGAAGGATGGGCTGTCCATGTCCGAGATTTGAAAAGCGAGCCCTCCAATTGTGATTCTATTACACTGAGCCCCATTACCACCTGGCAAGTTGCAGTAATACCCCGGTTTACGTCGGGAATGCGTTCCTGAAAGGTGGGACGAATATCAAAACGTAAAGCAAAGCAATTTTTTGAAATCAACAAAATACTGTGAACAGTATATTGTAGTATACATGACATGTATTTATGAACGATGCAAAGTAGCGAGTGCACAGGGGAGGTGGTGGCAAAGGCTGGGGCGATGGATACGAGAAAGGACGGATTATGCTGCCAGCGATGCAAGTATGGGGTTCAGGTGATTCAAATTAGGTCACGACATTAATACCAAAGTGACGGCGTTTTTGCGAAACGACGTAAAATGGGGAAGACGGAAATCGGGGTATTACTGATTTTGTATTTTTTTGGATGTACTCATGAAAGCATCGCTGGGTCTCAAGATTTCCACGACGATCTTGCAACGCGATGTTTGCTTATATCTCTCGTTTCGCTCCCAACCCACGCCCAATTCCTTTAACCAATATTTAATTATAATTAACAATTACACCTCACATCTTCAAATGCAGATTCATTCCAAAAAAATGTTTAAGGTGCAGTCCAAATGCATATATTTAAGTAGTGTGCACTTAGTTGGCTTATGATAGCTATGTAAACATGCATTTAGTTGAATGTGGCATCACGCTTTATTGTTAAATCTTGTATGAGGTATTCGTGTCCTTTTTTTGCTGGCATGCACTCAGTTTAGGACCAAGTGCCCCCCCCCCACCCGTTGATATTACTGACACAAGAAAAGTCCATAATTATTCTGAAATGCAATGGCATTTAATGACTTGCACAAAATCCCTTAGGAATTGCAATACACTGGTATACCATGGATATTTTGTTATGCTTAGTTAAAACACAATTATAATTACATACTCACAAATGAAGTAAATAACATCTGTCCAGTTAAAATATAAAATGCAATCCTTTTAAACTTATTTAAACTCTAGTCATTTGAAATTCCCTTTAAAATCTGAGCTAACTCATTGCACAATGTGGTCAATTTTGAAGAATTCCAATACCATATACAACAGAAAACGATGTGAATACCAACATATCAGATAATTAGATTCTAACTCTTAAAAAGATGAATATAGGTGTAGGAAGAAGTAGCATTTTTGTGAATGTTGTTCATACTTATCACTGCATAGTGTTTCTTTGATGGAAAAATTAAGGCTAAGAGAGAGAAATAGCCCACATGGTATTTCAAGTGACAGTCTGTAGATTTTGTAATATCAGTTTGTTCAGTGCTAACTATACCAGTTTTTTTTACAATCACTTAATTTGCAATTATCATTTAAAAATGTATAATTTCACTTACCATAATAGGTTCCAGTGAAAACAAATATTAATGTTGTTTCCATTGTACATCATTGTCAGGACCACTTTCTACATCCTGACAGTCAGCAACCTCACAGACACAATAATTCCCCTATAATCTCATCAAATGTATGCATAACTGTCGAGTAAAGACTCAACTGTGTAAGCATTTTGTTCTACCTTCAAGACTGTTTCCATCACCTCATGAATGAATACAGCCCACTCGGGCGTAAACACTCGGTGCACAGGGGTAACGATAACTCATTTCCCAGTGCTGGAATCAACAGGTGCTGGCTCAGTGTCCTAACAACCCACATCACCCTGTACCACTACCACATACTTGCGAATGAACGTACACGAGAATGAACCTTCAAATGTAAACGCTAGGCTTATAGGCCAAGGCTACTGGTTGCACTCAGATGCGTCCTATTTGGCAAATCTCATTGGCCAGTCTCTCCAGGTATTCGGGCAAGTAGCAGTAATCATCGCCGTAAGAGATCACTTTGATGCCTTTGTCCAGCATGTTTTCACGAAGCTTCTTGAAGTTCTCCGGGTTGTCCCTGCAGACTAGCATGAAGTGTTCTAGGTCCGACTTGTTGCGCAGCGCTTCCAGGAACAGCGATTGGAATGTGGGGTCCTCCAGAGTGCGGCCGCACCCCAGGAACAGGAAGGACTTGGTCTCGTACAAAGTTTGGATTGAATTCTGTGGACACAGTCATCAAGGGATCCTGATACAATTTGGATTCATATAGCACAAATATGGGGAACATGTCTACTTAACATGCATATCAAGGGTCATCAACATTAATTGTGTTCTAAGTTTGGTCTCTAAATTCTGTCCCCAAAGCCTGCATGAAGGGTATCAGTCACCTGTAACTTTGGTTTCACCAAATATTATGTAGCAGGGTATAAACAGCACTTGGTATGAACAGGGCACCTTGATATGACCATTGCTGCATACAGCACATTGACTGTCTGAAAAATCAAATATACAACACAAGAAATGTGAATTCTTACACACACGATTCAAGCCAAGTATAATATTGAAATCCTAACAATAGATATACAGTAAAACCTTGGATTGTGAGTAACTTGGTCTGCGAGTGTTTTGCAAGATGAGCACATTTTTATAATAAATATTAATTAGATAAACGAGCGAGGTCTTGCAATACGAGTACTGTAGTACGTACAGTATACGCTTTGTCTGCCGAGTGTCACGTGATCACAACTGAGCCGATGGTTCGTCTCTCTCTCTCGCTGCGGGATTGTGGGTAATCGTCTCCCATGCTCGGTCTCGTGCCTCACTCGTATAGTCAACATTCGTGCGAGCATATGTTTACTATAGTGTTGTGACCACGAGTGTGTGCGTAAAGCATTGTTTTAATTTGTGTCCAAGTGTAGTGACTGTTCTTTAGTAACTGTACTGCAAGTGAAAGTCATCCACACAATAACCCTCCTCTCCTCTCTCTCATCTCCCTCACACCAGCCACGATTAAATTGAATTAATTAATTTGATTACTTTATATTATATGCTCGCAATCCAAGGTTTTACTGTAGATCAATTTCATCAATACACCTCTAATATTTAATGCTCAATCAAATGAAATCTATATGCTTAGGCTGACTGGATGTCCAACATCAAACACTGGACAGAATGAAAGCTACCTCGGATAAAATACACAGTGAGGGACTGACAGGTGGAAAGACCACTGCAAGGCCACATGCACGAAGGCACTAGAGGAAGCCTTGGCTGACCAAGGGGAGTGTGCTCACAGTACAATCACGAACCATTACTTCCGTGTTGCGCAAGATGTTCTTGTAGCCAGCCGGGTGCAGTGCAATGCCGGTCGGGTTGGTGTAGACACCGTGAATGTGCAGCACGCTGAATGGCCTCTTTTCTTGTGACCACTCAAGAACCTGTGCACATGAAAGCAAAAAGGAAGCTGTGAATAGATTGATGAATGTATTACCTTTGCTTTAGACCAGTCAAGACGTTTAACTCCCAGCTATTGGGAGGACATTTAACAAGTATGCCACCTCATGAAGAAAAGTGGCCTTTTGATTTTTGGATGACCTCCAGAGGATGTTCCCTCACAGGAAGTAACACGGTTTGATGTTAAAGTTCTTAAGGAAAATATATTTGATACATGAAATCCAACTGAGAGTACAATTGTAATACATTTGGGGGGTGGCATTATATATACTCTCCAGGGACACCAATATAAATGTGTCGTGAGACAATAATACGTGTTTATATTTTTCAGACGAATACAAAATTTTAACTGAGTTTACTGGTGTCAACAACAATTACATTTGAAAATAAGGCTTTACCCTAACTTAACAATACAGCAAAACTCCTCTTATTTGTATACCTATAATCCATTCTTATCTATGCCCCAGAAGATATTTGTGCAAAATCCTATGATCCGCAAGACATTTAATCAAATCATTCGAGCCTCGACATGGGTGTGAAGAATGACCTCTTATCCATGGGGCAGTGACATGGCCCAGCAAGTAGACAATTCACCACTTGTTGCAGAGATTCACAAGTTCAAGTCCGATTGCAGCACTGGTTATTACTATGGGTGTAATAACCATAAAAATACTACGTGCTGTCTGCTTCACAGTGGATGTTAAATATCCCCTGATGTCATTCGAAATGAGCAGGCCACTGTGTGCTGGCGGATGTGTACACTTTTTACAAGTTTAAAAACTACCAATAAATTACTCAATTTGGAATAACACATTGCAAAATTGCACCCTACTGGCAGGCAAATGGCGATTTCCAGGCCAGGTTCTAAGTCACCTTGTGCCCACAGGGGCAGGTGCCATTGGGGGTGCCCTTTCGATTCAGAATCTTTTTTTATACTGGAGGAATCAGATGAGCTATAAAGCTCTTTACACAGATGTGCAGGAGTTTCACATATGTCCAGGCCAGATGAGACTGATGTGATGTTTGAGATGAGATTGATGTAAAGCATTCTGAGATGACCTGGTGTAAAGGGTGCTAGATCAAATACTAATTATTATCCATGCAAACGTTGCAAATACAGTAAAACCTTGGATTGCGAGCATAATTCGTTCCGGAAACGTGTTCATAATCCAAAGCGCTCGTATATCAAAGCGAATTTCCCCATAAGAAATAATGGAAACTCAGATAATTCGTTCCACAACCCAAAAATACTGTATAAAAAAAATGAATAATACAAAATACCTTTTTAGAATTTTATTATTTAAATTTAATATAAAGTAATCAAATAAATTAATAACATTTTATCGTGGCTGGTGTGAGGGAGATGAGAGAGAGGAGAGGAGGGTCATTTTGTATGGAGGACTTTCACTTTCAGTACAGTTACTAAAGAACAGTCACTACACTTGGACACAAAATAAAAAAATGCTTTACGCACACACTCGTGGTCATAACACTATAGTAAACAGCATACTGTGCGCTCGCACGGATGTTGACTATACAAGTGAGGCACGTCGACTGAGACCGAGCATGGGAGACGATTACCCACAATCCCGCAGCGAGAGAGAGAGAAGAACCATTGGCTTAGTTGTGATCACGTGACGCTCGGCAGACAAAGCGTATACTGTACGTACTACAGTACTCGTATTGCAAGACATCGCTCGTTTATCAAATTAATTTCTTTAAAAAATTTGCTTGTCTTGCAAAACACTCGCAGACCAAGTTACTCGCAATCCAAGGTTTTACTGTATAAATGTAAATTATGAGTAATTTACGGCTAATTTCTTGACCCTCGGCAAAGAATGGTCTACTCGTTGAGAATGACGTCAGGGGAACTTCAACATGGTCTTCTGAAAGTAGTCAATTAATCCTATGATCCAAGTCTTTGTGTGGAAAAGAGTGAACAAGGAATAGCAGTAGATTCATTCTGTTATCCCAGCAATTTCCGTGGATGGGTTGGCAGTTGTGCTAAATTTATCGTATTATCCAAGACTTACACGGGGACAACTATTCAGGTGAAAGGATTGATTTGCACTGTAGTACTCCCACATAAATCTGGGTAAGGCGATTTCCACTGTAGCAGTAAAAATGCAGAACACTGGCTTAGCGGGGTCATAAAGAGCCAATGCCACTGATGTCCAAAGTTCAAATCGAGGCAGCCACCCATTGTGAAACTATTGATGGGTGGGGAGGGGCTGGGTGGGGAGGGGCTGGGTGGGGAGGGGAGGGTGGGGAGGGGCTGGGAGGGGAGGGTGGGGCTGGCTGGGGGGTGGGAGGGGTGGGGCTTGGTGGGGAGGGGCTGGTCACCCCGTGGTGCCCTTATAAAACTCAACGTTTAACTTACTCACGCCAGCTTGTGCCTGTCCCTCAGTCGGCCATATTTGCGGAATACACCATGCCGCCGTTGACCCTAGCCATTAACCGAGCAACCCAACGTTCCTACCAGCTCCCTCCACAGGAATGTGTTCACAGACATGATTTGAACAAGGTAAGCTGTGGACTCAAACGTAAAAGGCCATCGCAGCTAAGGGAACATGGCCACTGTAGTGGAAACATGCAGGCTTAGGCTCACGCACGTTCTTCTCGTCGGTCAGGTCCAGAGACTCGAGGGCCTTGCCGCGCTGCGTGCCGTAGATCTCCAGGAGGTTGTCAAAGTTGGTGGTGAGCACCAGGGCGCCGTGATCCATGAGCTGCAGCACAGACTGCAGCAGGCACTTGCCCGTCTCCTCCATCTTGCTCTCGAGGCCCTCGAAGACGTCGTAGAGACAGTCCTTGAAGAAGGTGGAGCGCACGTTCCCCGTGCGCTTGTGCCCCCAATCGTGGGAAGAATGAGAAATTGAAACAAAAACAGGATTTTAAATGTTAAATGTTACTGTTATTATACTCTTTGGTTCTTTCGGTGAAGTAGAACAAGTCGAACAAGCACCAAATATTAACAATAATATTGCTGTGTGCATAGGAAAGCCTCACCGAGTGTTAAGAGTCTATTTTGAGCAGGGTCCTGCACCTGAGACATTTGGCAGAAAACACTCAGGAGCTCTCCAGTTACATTTAATCTACATAATCATCCAGTGTATGGACTAAATCTAATGGTGGACTGCATCCATTGCTGCAGGAACATCTACTGGCATCTTTAAGCCCTCTAAGCTCAAATCCCCATGCCTACAACTCAAATCCTAATAAACATTGATGATCACCTGTCCAAGCAATAACCAGGCACGATCCTCATAATCTCACGAGAACTAACGCTGATTTATGGTGATTTGGGGATTTCACTTGGTAATTAGGTGATTTCGAAAAAGGTTAACAGGTTAAGATATGGCTTAAAATTAACCTGTTATTTAGTGTATGTGTAGTGACTTATATGGAGTCACTATGGTGTTTAGCGCTAGCTACTGTCAGAAGAGTGGAAATGTACAGTCTTGAGTCTCTCTCTGGCATCCAGAGTGGATATGGCATGGACAGCGGGCCATAGGGGGCATAGTTCTGGTGAGGGTCAGAGAGAGAGCAAGTGAGGACGTGATACTCTGTGTGAACCCGAGAGGGCACGTGGCCGGGGCAGGGTAGCAAGGGGGTCCAAAAGGGGGCTCGAGGGACACGTGATATGGGCCAGAGCCTTCTAGTAGGATCTAGGCGTGGCCGAGGGCGGGGCTAGGCCACGCTCAGGAGCATAAAGGGGCAGTCTTGAGAGGGTTCTGGGCTCTCTGTTGGAATGGAATCCGTCGGTGCTACGTCTCTTCGATCCTCGGTCTTCGATGTTACACTCGGCATCGTGGGTCGGGCAGTGTGTTACTGACCGACCCGGTTATGTAGTTACCCCATTGTGGTCTAGTTAACCGTGTAGTTATCAGCCTAGATGTAGAACCAGTGTATGTTTATGTAGTTAGCCCTGTTGGGTCGTTAAATAAACGTGTTGCCTCAAACTCCAGTGTGTGCCTCCGTATAACACACTACGTATGTGTTCAATTATACAGCAGCCTTGTTTCCTACCTATATCCTCATTAACAACACATATTGCAAGTACCATGCCTCGACATGCACAACCCCAGTGAGATAGGTTTCACAGCAATTCCCTTTTCACACCGGAGACAGCTTCTGGATGAGGTCGTGGGCCACATGCACGAGGTCGCGGTCCTCCTGCAGGCTGCGGTGAAAGCGCTTGATCTCTTCGTCCTCCAGGAGGTCGAACTCGCCCGAGGCGTCGAGCAGCGCCTGAATGAGGCCCTTCCAGGACTTAAGCGCGGGCACGCACGGCGCTACGGCAGCGCTGATGCCCTGTGCCGATCACCAGCACCAGCTCCTGTGGCCGCTTCAATTTCAGGCTGGGCAGCAGCTTTCTGCATGTACACACGCAAGGCACAGTGTATATCGGAGTTAGGACAGCATTGTGGCTGTTGGTGATAACCAAAGAGAGGTTCGATTTCTTCAACACCCTTAATATTACAGGTACGGTGGTAAATGTGTTCGATCCAGTGATTTGTAGGAGTTGTTGGAATATGCAAACATTATCGTGTGCATTGAAACACCTGTTGCGCTACGAGTTCATAGCCCTAAGATGGCAGTACTAGTGTAATCACCGCATGCATGTGGGTTTTCTCTTGATATTCTAGTTTCCTTTCTAGTGTGAAACACATTAAAACGAAATGGACACATATGCCAATTCAGTGCAGTGTATGGTTGAATTAACTCATGAATGTATTGCGAGCAAGCCCATTTAAACCTTGAATCCAAGCATCTAAAGTAAAATCCAGTGATATATTCTCTACTGCCATCTACTCGTCACTTTGTATCCGTTAATTCTACGACATCCACCAAACCTGCCTCCAACAACACTCGATTACAAGCTGTTGTACAAGTAAATCTCTGATCTGTCTATGGGAGTGTTCTCTCATATATGGATGTTCCTAATATCCCAACTTCCTCCTACATGTAAACATACTCAACATGAAAATAATGTAACTACCAAAGCAGGATCCTCCTGAAAGAATCCTAAACATTATAGGATTTGACATATAATACTATATATATTTGGAGCATATATCAGCACTTTCCCAGTTTGGTTATGTGGGACCATACCTTGTCTTATGAGCAGGCACAACACCGTCTTGGGCATTGTGATCATTCACAGTCATGGAGCCCCGATCCTCCACACCACTCCGATCCTTTGCAATCACGCTGCCTTGATCCGAATTCATGATCACGTTTTCACTGCGACGCAACAAAAAAGATATGTTACACAAAGTGCAGAGCACATTACTGTTTGGGTAGCCTTGTGTTCACTGTGTTTGCCACTGAACCAGTTCACGCTATTCGTTGCACACAGGTTGAAATTTAGTTTGCATGCGGTTGCAATTTACTTGGCTCGGTCGGCGTTAGCCGCTGAGGTCCTGAACGGGATTTTTATTCCTGTTGCTCCATGCCCTCCTGTACCGCTCCTGTTTATTGTGGGCGATATTGGCACGTAAAATAAATATTGATTGAGTTTGATCAAACTTTCAAGCTACGTGTGATGTTTCGTATTTTAAAAAGCGCATTGCCAGCCGTAAATCAGATGTTGAAAGACTCTATTATGCCAAGTGCAAGAGTTTATCACCGTGTGCAAATGCCACAGTTTAAAATCACAAATGTGAAAAGTAAAGAAGAAAAACACACCCATGTGAATATCTACATTATAATAGTCCATTTTAAAAGAGAATGTTAATCTTAATTTGTGCTCACCCAGATAATATAACACATATATAAAAGAGGTGTTTTCAACCTGTGTATTTAAAAAATATATATTCTGAGAATATGTTGTATATTTTTGGAATGACCATTTAACCACGAGTTTCAATACATCACTGACAAATTTAAATATTTTCTTACTGACAAAAGGTCACGTGTTTGAATATAACTTTCAATGTTACCACTGTCAAGTGAAATGCCGTGTGAATAAGTGCTAGAACGATTCTGCTCATCACATGCCCTTGGGTTTTAACATTTGCTCAATCACTACTTATGAATGTGCCCTGGACCTTTGGGTGTACAAATAAGGCAAATGAAAAGCATACTTTCACAAAACAAACATGTGTTCGTTGAACCTTCACAACTTAGGTGTTAAATTACAATACAATGCAGGACTTTCTATGTCCACTTTTATGTAAATGTTATCATATGAGGTAGAATTTGGGCAGTGGAAACTCTACATCGTGGGTGTGGTGTCCCGGGCCACCCAGGGCAACTCAATTAAGCCCAACTCTGAATAGTACAACTAAATTATGGGCTCACATCATACATCTGTGTATTCCCTGTTTTGTGCCTGGGTGCAATTAGAGTTCTGAGCAGTGTTGGCAAGATACAGCAGTGTTGGCAAGATATAGTGTTGAAAATTTCGTTGTAGTCTATGAACATCAGCACTTCTCTAGACTGCATTCGATTAACTGCAATATGATTTCATTTTAGATGCAATCAGGCAACGAGAGGTTGAGGTCATTCGCGGGCTGAATAAAGACTGAGGCGAATGGGTAGCATCTAGAAGGATCCAGCAGCATCCCGCCTTGTGCGACGCTATGCCGAGGCAGCCGTACGACCGCTTATTCCTACTCGTGCGACGTCATTCGGTTCACTCGATCGCGTTGTATCCAATTCCCACCCGCGTTATATCCAATTCACATCCACGTTATATCCAATTCGCATCCGCGTTATAGAAAAAAGTGTTCCCTAATACATTGATCGTGTTTTAAAAACATGCGTTATGAGAGAACAGACTTGTACCTGGTGCAGTGTGTGAACACACAGGGGGAGACGGCAGTGGCCGCCCGTGTGTATAGCGCTGATCACTTCCTCACGGGCCTGTACTTGCCAGCTAAACACACAAACACGTAAGCAAAGTTTACATTTCATCAAAAAAATGCATGCGACGTCAGATTATTGTCCACCCCAGATGCAGGAGTTGGGATGTGCGAGTTGCAAATGGCACAACTTAAATTATTCTGATAAAGCCTTGCGTCCACAGCATCCTGAACATTCCATAACGCTTGCCACGCGCAGCCCCTTGTCAATCCACTGCTAGATGAGGGCCTTCCCACGCCATGCAGGTTGTGGGCTACCTGATCAAAATTCATCATAATTCCATAATGCCTCATGGTGGGTTGACGAGGGCTGGGAGAGCACAGAAATCGCAGTACAACAATGGATTCGGCTGTTTGCTCTCTGCTGCCCATCACGTAAAGCCACTGGTCGAGTACAATCTGTGCACGGTGGTAGCACATCCGAGAACTATGCAGGCTGCTGAGCTTCCCAGATCCGAGATATTCGGGGTGAGTTTCTTCCAAATAATTTTACATGACAGCAACGCGAAGTACCAATGTTATTCGCGTTCAAGCTTTACACGGATTGCAAATTCGCAACAGCGGTAGCACATTCGTGAACTAAAGAGTTACAATAATGGTTCATAATATAGATTTTTGTTCAGGTTAGATCGCGTAAATTTGTCATTAAACCCGCCACAGCCAATTAGTAAGGTTTGTCACGTAAACGGAACATGCCAATTCGTTACTCGTACAGCACACTGGTGCGTTGGAGAGCAAATCCACAACATTTACAATCTGAGTACGAAGTTTTGCCGGTAATTACAACCAGCATCATCAGGCGACAGCCAGACAACGATGGTGCCTGCCAGCACTGTATGAAATGTAAGAGTTGAACACAATCGTAGCAAGCACAAGGTAGCACCGGGAGCGATGCACGCAATGCACACTTAAAAGTGCAACACTTTGAAGCCCTGGTGGTTATAGCTTGGGGAAGGACCTCCACTAGAGAGAGTTCTTTGGGGGATATTTGGTCTCTTCTTCCAGATGAATTGGACGAGGTGAGCGCGCCCACACTTTAGGCAATGTGGTTATTGTGGTGGTACCCATCTACACTAGTGTAGTGAGTCCAACTGAGTCGCAGACGTTGTTCCTTTTAGAGGCAACACCTTTATTCATAACACAAAGGGGTAACTGCCCCTTCTTTACCAGATACAACCTAGGGTGGTAACCACCCAGCTAACTACATTATACAGTAACTACACTATACAGGGGAGTTACTGCTACGAAGGGTCGGACCCTCGCTCGGGTCTCCGACCACGTGGTCCCCATAGGACGAAGCGCTTCCAGCTTGTACAACGAAGAGACCCTGGACCCTCTCAGGGACCCGCCTTATATCCCTCTCCGGTCGGGGCCGCTCCGCCCTCGGCCCGCCCACCTTCTCGAGCATTCTCGTTCCCTCTCGATCCTTCTCAAGAGCTCTCTCCGGACACGTGATCACCGCCTAGTCCCCCAACCTGGGCCCCCCTGTGTGGACATTCTGGATCACGTGTCTACGGGGTCAACCAGAGTGCCACGGCCCGGGGAAACCTTGACCCTGGGCTGACGCTCACCCTCCCCTCGGGGGAGCCCCCACACCACACGCTGTGCGTGGTGGTGCCCGCACGATCCCAGTGCTCGCCAAGCCCCACTAGGGCTGGTACTACTACACAGCCACCCACACGGTGCTGTCCACGATGTAGGGACATCGAACGGCACGAGCCGGCACCATACAGTGACATCCCCGATGTCACTACACGAGATTAACACGTAGGCTTTCGCGACCAATATTAATAATAGTTTTTTGGGGGAGGAGGGGGGGTTAGATCGCATAAATATACACTACCACTGTTCAACTCAAACGCATTCCGGGACGTCAACGCCGCGGCCCTTAAGAACGACACAATATACAACGGGCGACGTTTCGGGCAACAGCCCTTTTTTGTCCGAAACGTCGCCTTTTATTTTACTCCCAACGAAGGCGTGGCACCCCGTCGCCCATCTGAGGCCGCTGTGTTGCCGACGGATGCGTCGACTGTTGTTGCGCTGTTTGTTTGTTGTTGTTGTTTTGGTTGTTGTTATTTTCAATGATCGAGTAGCGGGAGTGCGGTGAGGTTCACTTACCGCACGGTTGCGCCAGTCCCGCTACGGCGACTCTGCCGGGACAAACAAAACGCGTTTTTTTATTTGGCGTTCGAACGTCTTAACATTTATTTTATTTCTAGAAAGGGTAAAGCATGTTCTTTCTTCTTTTTTTCTACCTACGTGGCTTTACCGAAAGACCCAAAGAATAAGATGTTCTTACATATTTAGAATAAATTCGATACTGACAAAAGGATCCTATAAATAAAATTGAGAATATGACACACGAGTTTTTTTTTACCCGTACCAACATGGTCGCGTCTAGCCCCATTCAACACGAGTGTTGTACCCCTACCAAAATGGCCGCGTATCACCCCATTACGACGCGAAGTTGTACCCCATACCAACATGGCCGCGTCTCGCCCCATTCAACACGGAGTTGTACCCGTACCAACATGGCCGCGTCTCGCCCCATTCAACACGGAGTTGTACCCGTACCAACATGGCCGCGTCTCGCCCCATTCAACACGGAGTTGTACCCGTACCAACATGGCCGCGTCTCGCCCCATTCAACACGGAGTTGTACTCGTACCAACATGGCCGCGTCTCGCCCCATTCAACACGGAGTTGTACCCGTACCAACATGGCCGCGTCTCGCCCCATTCAACACGGAGTTGTACCCGTACCAACATGGCCGCGTCTCACCCCATTCGCTAACACGTCGCAAAGCGCGTTTCGTATTGCACGCGCCCTCGGAGTCGCCGTAGCGGTGGTGTCGGTGCTGTCGTGTTTACTTTTCCGATTTATCCCCCCCCTCTCTTATTTTTCCTTTCTTCACTCTTCATTTTTGTAACTTTGAACGCGACCGACAGACCCCAATGGGCTGCTGCTGCGCCTTTGAGTGCGTCGCCCTCGTCGCGGTGGCGGCGCTGTCGATAGCGGCGGCTTACTTCGTCAGAAAGCTTGGCGTCTTCTATCAGCTGCTGCACAAGGCGAGTCGCTGCAAGTCGCGGCCCTCTTCCCCAGAGCGCACAAGCCGCCGCGTTGACTTTCCCGATGGCATTGACGGACGGACAGACTCTAAATGTCGTGTCCCCTTCACTTTGCGTTAACTTATGAGGGTGCACTGATGCATAGGGAGTTAATGGGTGCTGACTTACATACGTAGAGTAAGGCGCACCTGCTGCTAATAGGATTATATGCACATCACGAAGGCACATACACTAGAATGGTTAAACTCAAGTTTACCTGCCACCCCCGTCTCCTCTTTAGCTTATGCTTACCAAGCAATGAACGCTTGGATATTCTGTTCGTAATTAAAGCACAATGCTGCGCGTGTGTTAGTGGAAGTACACTTTTACGAGGGTAAAACACCAGGCTGGCTTATGAACTTAAAGAAAATGTCTAAAGTCGGGCACGAAATACATATTTGACGACGTGGAGACACTTTCATCCAACAGTTAATTGATATTGGCTCTTGATTGTGATGGTTCCCATAGCCTTCCTGGAATGGTTAAGGGAACGAAATGTCCTAACTTGTAAAAAATTCAATACTGCATAGTGCCTTGTGTTGAGTCAGCATTGTGGAAAGATACAAATGGATTGTTGACTTAAGGTGTTTAAAACCTTTGACAGAAATGTGCCATTTTGTATGTCTTGTGCAGTATTAATTCATATAGAAAAAATAATTTGCGGTGTAGGTTTTGTTTTTATTTAACAACTTTAGGTGCACGCCTTTTGCACACAGCGTTGTAATGCGAAGTTTTTTTTCTGGAAGATTTGCTGGTTTATTTCTGTATTTCTGTTGCGCGTCGTCACTTTAAGATGTTCCCTGTTCATATTTTGTTTGCTGCGGTTGCACCCGACTCAAGAGCCGCATGGCTCACAGGGCTATACCTAATCAATTAAACTTGAAACTTTAACAAAGACAATCCCTCTCTAAGATACCTCTGCAAATGAGCATAAAGGCAAGTTTCTCTCTCGTACATTCTCTGTCAAATTTCAATTAGCCGTTTCATCATTACATTAAGCCAAAGCTACTTGGACAGTATTACATATAATTATTCCAAAAACACGTTTCTATATTGGACAATTCAATTTTTCCCATCATAAAAAGTTGTGCTCTTTTTACCCCGTGCCAGGAAAACAGGAATGCCAAGAATGGATTCTGTGACATGTTAAGATTTATTTCACATAACTGCATAAAACATTGTTTAATTGTTGCACCTTTGCTTAGATTTTCTGGTAAAACAACAGGTGCAGTCATGCACTTATCTTGTTTTCTGTTTAAAGTATTCATTCTTTATGGGATACTTCTTGGGGAAAACCAACAAAAACCCTATCTTGATAATCTCTCTTTATGGTGCAAGGTTGTACAACAAACTCTTGTCACTTTAGACTTTAGGACTTTGCTCATTATTCCCATAAGAGTGCACTTGTTGTCCAAGTAGTATTTTCATTACATACACTATGCATAGCCTTGTAATGTATAACATTGTCCCATAAACCACAACCTTCCAATGAGAAAATGCACATGCTCTATGTTACAACATAACTCAAATAATCCACGTTGATATGTAGCCCAGTGTTATTCACTAATTTTCAAAGGGGGTGGGAGGAGGGGCATTTTCGCCGATAAGACATCATTGTGAGGGTCGCCACATCGCCTGCAAAGGGTGTTTTCACATGTTGCATATTGTCGATTGCCGCATGTCAGGGGCCCGCACTGAAGGCCATCAGGGGCCACCTGTTGCCCGTGGGCCTTGCTATATGCAAAACATATTTGTGCCGTCAATTATGGGTGGAAAGAGCCACGCGGTTTCCATTAATCTGCAAAAAAATGCGGATAACAGGGGAGGCACAGGCACATGACTGGCGGCTAAATTCGCAATGCATTTGCAGATCGTGAGGTTTTCTGAGACGCAAACGGTGCAAACCTTTCATATGAATCTAGGGTAATGTTTTTTTGCATTTTTCGTTTTGCTTCTCCAAGTAAAAAAAAAATGCATATTCTTTTTCCTAAACAGAATCACATCAGCACAACTAGTCTGTGCTGATAAAAAAGCGAGATAAAAAATATGAGCTGCGTTTGCCTACAACTCCACTCCTGCAGCTCCACATTAGCATGCACCACGAATAATTCACACATAGCAGGAATTATGCTATATCTTTTTATCTTTGATATTTAAATTTAGACTTTTGTAAACCTGCGTGTGACTGTTATTCTTAGAAAATTACTCAAAATTAAATTGCATATCAAGAGTCCCAACTCGTATCACATGACGATAAACAGTGCTCCAAAAGGCATTGCAGTGGAAAAACCTGTCACCTGAGCCACAGCAGGCTGGATCGGCATGACTTGCATGGCTCGGTTGTACAGTGGAAGAGAGGTATCTGTTACCTGCTGACAGGTGGAATCGGACAGCAGCCGGCACGGTGGGGAGCTGGTGGCGGAAGTTCTGCGTGCTCATGGCGTGCGCTTCGTCTTCACGCTGGTGGGCGGCCACGTGTCACCCGTCCTCACGGCCAGCGAGAAGCTGGGCATGCGTGTGGTGGACGTGCGGCACGAGGCCACCGCTGTCTTTGCTGCCGACGCCGTCGCACGGCTTTCGGGTCAGCGGGCGCGACAGAAAGTGCTGTGCTGGCGTGCACGCCTGCTTGCACAAGAACACACACACGCCCGCACCTCCATGTACCCATCCACTCGTCTGTCGACACACTCGCCCCTGTATACCATCCACACACCTGCACAAACACACACACCCTCATACCCATTCATTCACCTGTCCACACATCTATTGCCACGCACACAGTAACTGACACACTCACTCACGTACCTACCAATAACAACAGCCACCATTTGCCACTATATGGTAGTCACATCACCACGGCGTTTGTGCCAGGCTAGGTTGCACTTTTGACGCCACGTGAAGTGCGGTAGACTTGCTGGCAGGTCACGGCACAGACACTTATTATGAGTTGACCGAGATAACTGGCAGATGCACCACTTTGTGCTCCCCACTATGCCTATACATCTCTCAACACATACATAAACTTATACGCACAGACACCTGCACATCCAATCATGTGCATGCACACAAATGTGCAAAGAAACTCACACTTTCACACTTATCTGCACATCGATTAACACACACATGCGTGTGTACGACTGTACACCCAGCAGCATATCTGCCTTCACTTGCATTGTCATGTATACATACATACATGCACACTCACATGCAAACCTACTAATATACTCTCTTACTCAACAACACACATCCACTCACCTGTATATAAACCCTAAATCAACTCCTGATGATGCCCGCAGCAGTGTGTGGCTCAATCCATAAAAACACAAGCGGCTGTGAAAATTACCTGTTAATAGGATAATGCATGTATTTGATGTGCAGGTACCGTTGGTGTTGCTGTGGTGACGGCAGGACCGGGTCTCACCAACACTGTCACCGCAGTGAAGAATGCTCAGATGGCCGAGTCTCCAGTATTGCTCATGGGAGGAGCAGCTGCTACCCTCCTTAAGGTACTGGGCCCTTATGAAATTCATAATTTGCAAATCCGTGCACGTAACATTAGGCTGTGACTATCGTTATATTGTCAGGTCTAAACAGTACACTGCTTAACTCACTAAAATGTGGCCATCGTCCCTTTCTTAATTGAGCAATGGGGTGGTGCCTATCTCAATGAAAGTGCCCTAAACAAGTCATGGTAAATTCACATTGCCATGCTCAGGGTCAAGACACTGCATAGGACAAATACTGTTTAACTTGAAACCTTCCTGTTGATTGTTAAGTGCTCTAACCATGGCACTACCCTAGCAAGCACGCAAGAAACCAACGGTGTGTGCTGAACGATTGGTGTTGTTTTTGTTCAGGGACGAGGGGCGCTGCAAGACATCGATCAGCTGTCGCTGTTCAAGCCGCTGTGCAAGCTGTGCATTACCGTGAGCACTGTGCGTGAAATTGTCCCCGCGATCAGACGAGCACTTGCCACTGCCCAGTCTGGCACTCCAGGTAATGTTGCACATGTAAAACATTTTCAATACTCATGCCATCTTATATGTAAAAGGGAAATTTGTGAATATGTGTGTCTGTTCGAAATGTTTATCATACTTGCCGACATGCAACCAACTTGTATTAAATGGGAATAGGCCGATACTAAAGAAATCTACAACCTTCAATTGCTTTGCGCGATTTAAAGAATCGAATCTTGGCGCGCTTGGGTTTTATTTTATTTTAAATGAATGAGTTTTCTTTTCATTTGTTATGTTTTTAAGTATTCAGAAGTTTTTAAATATATTTATCCCCCGGGCAACGCCGGGTATTAGCCGCCAGTCTCATATATGAAGACGTATAAGCATACATTGCATTGTTTTAATTCGCCTCTCAGGCAAGTGCATATGCTGCAAGAAGTGGATTGGCAGCTAACATGTGGTGGGGTGTGGGAGCTCACATGTGGGGGGGGGGGTGACGTGCGGTTACTCCCATTGCTTCCAGTCTGTCAGACCATATGGATAAATGCTCCTGGCGGGTGGCATCAACACTGAGAGTTAATTAGTGTTTGTCCTTTGGAGAAACTGGGCTCCGCATAATAAGTGGCATTTACGACACTCGTACAGAGATGAGCACTACCGCACATGAGTTTGAGAGAGTGGCAAGCACTTGAAAATGTAAATTAATAATAATTAAAATATAGGTATGTTTTATGTAAATGAGAAGCTATTGACCAATTGATACGGATAAGCTCCTCGTGATGACTTTTGAAAAATATAAAGATATGAACTTGAATCCGATGATGAATCCGATGATTGTGTTTGGTTGTGTGGTCTTTCATAGGGCCTGTGTTTGTAGAGTTGCCTATTGATGTCCTCTACCCTTACCACGTGGTGCAAAAGGAACTTGCTCCAAAAACAGCACCAAAGGGGCTCATGGGTAAAATCATCAACTGGTACGTCACCATGACCTCTCAATTAAATATTGTCTGCCCCTTGTTTCACCTTAGAGTCCAAGTCACATGACTCGAGTCCACACCTCAGAGGTGGGACAAAGTCATTGTTATGCAAGTCCAAGTCGAGTCTCAAGTCATCAAATTCATGACTCGAGTCTGACTCGAGTCCAAGTCACATGACTCGAGTCCACACCTCTGGAATGTACACAGCCCTTTGTAAATCCACTGTTGAATCAAGGTCATCAAGACACTTGGTCAGTTGTGAGGGTTGTGTTGACCATACTTCATCATCCTGATCAGTGTACGTTTGTCAAGGGGGGATTCCCAGGATTGTTTCGGATATCGGTCGCCGCTGATGTTAGTCTTAGCTTGGAATTGAACTCAGGTTGTCTGATTTATAGCTTAGTATGCTAACCACTGTTTGGTGTACATCTTGATATAAAAAAATACATAGTTATTCCCATGTTATGTGTTTATATCAGCTAAGTGCTCTTCCTGAAACACTTTGTGTGCCTGAATCTAACATGTATGTTTAGTTATAGTTTGCTCTGAATATTAGCATTACCATATATTATTTCTGCAGGAATTCATATTATTTTGGTGTTTCGGTAAAGTCATGTAGATAGGTTCAAATTAATAAAAATAACACAAGCGATCGTCATCAGGAGGAAAAAAAAGGTTTTGCCTCCTGATGATGATTGCTTGTGTTGTGATCGATACATCGTAGTTTTTTGTTTATTTTATTTTTTATTAATTTGAACCTATCTACGTGACTTTACCGAAAGACCCAAAGAATATATATATTTTTTATTTAGATACTTGTTTAAATACTTGAAAAAGGCTCAATGAAATTCCTAAATTGTGTTCCACGTGTGTGATTATGGTACGTACAAGAGCCTTTTCGAAACTGGCTCTTATACAATTATACAGGATGGTACAGTCTATCAAAGGTTATTAAAGTATATCAAAAGTACACATAAGTCCACACTAATTCATATTTAAATATTGGGTGACTGTGGGAGTTGAACAGTCATCTATTTAAAAGTCAGTTTTGTGGTGAGCACACCATTCAAAACGACAGTCACCTAAAATAGTGTCTCCATTATTACAGCATCCTTTTCTCTCCGTATAAGGCAGTACAATGGTGACCTTGACCCACTCCACAAATCCCTACTTGTGCGAACAGCGCAAACCGTGTCTTTAACACCATCAACTGATAATTCACTCAAGTTGTGCTTTGAACCATATAACCCTTTCTTTTTACTGCAGACGCAAGCACACCAAGCTACTAAGCTTTTGGAGCTAGTTCATTATTTTTTGAGAAGTAATTTTTTTTTATGGTGACTCACACCCTTATGACATGTTAGTACACATAGACACACAGCACAGCTCACGGCGCATTGGTGCTTGCAGGTACCTTTTGAACCACCTGCGGAACCTGTTTGCCGGAGCTTGGGAGCCCAGGGACATGTCCCCACTGCCAATTCAGCGGCCCATGGCCACTCCTGAACAGGTGCCCTTTGCCTTTTCTTTATTATTTAAAAGCGACAATTTTTAACACAACAACAACAACCGCCATTCACCACTAAGTGGCGGTGACGTCACCACGGCGCTTGTGCCAGGCTATGTGCACCTTGAGGCCACGTTAAGTGTCGAACGCCTGCTGGCAGGAGGTCACGGGGCAGACCCAGGTGCCACGGGTCGACTGACATGCAACTTTGACCAGCACTCATCTAGCCAAGTGGCGCTGTGGCTCGAGCACTTAACTCAATCAAAATGTTCAGTGTTCAAATCCTAATTTGAAGTTTACTCAACTTATCATTCCCAAAAGGTCATATGTGATGTAAACATTGGTTTTCCCATGGATACACTGGCCCCTGCCATGCCACAGGAATTTGTAGTTTGTACCAGCGGTGTATGGTGATCAATGGGAATGAGCAGGGTTACTTATAACATGAAAAATTATGAAGGCTCACCCCAGATTGTGACTAACTTCTTGTGAGTGGCGGTGTGCAGGTGCAGAGATGTGTGGAGTTGGTAAGCCGAGCAAAGAAGCCGGTCTTTCTGTTGGGCAGCCAAGCAACACTGCCCCCTGTACCAGCCAACCAGATCAGGTAGATGAAAAGAGCATTAAGTCAGTACACATTCTTTTGGATGCATTAAATATCTGGTTTTCAATCTTCGACAACCTATAATCAGATTGTCTTTATGTAGTTGTGATATATAATTTTGACAGGATTTTGACCACCCATAATCATGGTAGAGAAATGATTCTGTAATTTGAAATATAAATAAATATTGACACCAACAAACAATGTGGACAAAAATGAAACCCATAACTTAATACATTTTGAGACATTAAATGTTTTTTTTGTTCTTACAATGCCACTTTGCTCTGAAATAGAATCCTGGTGCATTATCACTTATGAACCCGATTCATAATGAAGTGTATGTCCACTACTAGTCTACATTCACTTACACCCGTTGATGTGTTTATATTAAACAAACGATGGCTGTTCTTGTTTCCCCCCCACAGAGAAACACTGGAGCACTTGGGAATTCCATGCTTCCTGGGTGGGATGGCCCGGGGCATGCTGGGAAGGGACAGCCCCATTCATATCCGGCAAAATCGCAGGGATGCCCTTAAGGAGGCAGACCTCGTGATTCTCTTAGGTAACAGCGATATATCTCTCTGAATTAAAAGTTGCACTCTTTGTACCTGCCAGCTGGTTATTCTATGTGCACCCTGGTCAATATGGACATAGTTATTCCTGTAGAGACTTGCTTGTTGGTAGAAAAACTACTGCTTTATCTTCTTGGTTCTTTTGGTAAAGTCACGTAGAAGGGAAATAATAAAATAATAAAAATGAAACATAATAAATACAATTCTCACAACGTTTCGGACGCTGTCTTTCCAACAGACCTGTTCTTCACCTGAGGACGGCTGCTTGCGTTGTGGCCGAAACGTTGTGAGAATTGTATTTTATTATGTTTTATTTTTATTCTTTTATTATTTCCCTTCTACGTGACTTTACCGAAAGAACCAAGAATATGAATTCCTGCAGTCACGAAAGCTTTAAATCGAAATTTAACTACTGCTTTGTTTTCCACAACAATTATAAACACATTTTATATGAAACAAAAAAGCCAAATTGTTTCGCAACTCAAGCATCCGGGTAGCACTGTAGTGGTTCTGACATTCCCATGACAGAGGCAGTAATGGAGAGGTGAAAATTTGAGTCGAATACAAGGCACTTGTACCTTTATAACTGTGATGCAACATGAGTGTAAATTTCTGAGCGCAGTCTTTAGTTACAAACCACATACTTATAAAGGTCAATTAACATGTGTGTATTTGACAAGAAGATAATGTTCAATTTTTATATTGTTTTTTTCTGTGGAGTTTTAGATGTGAATATAGCATTGTTTACTACTTAGTCAATATGGGGACATTTTTGACTTGACAGTACTCACTATTGAGGTCAAAATTTACTCCATGGCGTGTAATAACTTAACAAGAAATGTTGTTTTTTTGTTGTCTTTTTAAGGGACTGTGTGCGACTTTCGACTGTCTTACGGTCGGGTTTTGAGTCGGAAAAGCACGATAATAGCTGTAAATCGTGACCGCTCACAGCTGCTTAAAAATTCAGACATGTTCTGGAAGCCGACAGTTGCTGTGCAAGGTAAATATATGACCTTATTAATCTTAGTGCAGTGTAAGAGCTTCTAAATATATCTATAGCAATAAAATGCCTGTTACTTGTAGCAAGATTGATCCAGATTTGTTTGACAACTAAATAAAACTACTGATTTATTTACAATCCTTTTTTATGCTTTGCTCATCAGCCAATATTTTGGAACTGGTAATCATTGTCCTGTTTTTGTCATTTATTATAAAATGTATGTTATGAAAAACATTGTAAAATTCTATTTTAAAATTACTTGATAGTAAATAAAATGTGAATACCATAACAGCATCTGCCTGGTCTACTTAACAAGAAAAGAATGTGTGTGATGTGCCCTTCGTGTTGTGCCTAGGGGATCCTGGCTCCTTCTTGGTGAGTCTATCTGCTGGACTCAAGGGCTACAAGTGTCCTGAAGAGTGGGCTCGTGACCTCAAACAAGGAGATGAGAAGAAGGAGAAAGCCAACAGGTTCTTGAGCAACTACTCACCTTTTCTACTCTGTGGAGTCCTGCCATATATTGGTCGTAAAATGTAAAAAAAAATTAGATTACATTTTACCTTTATTATATTTCATAGCGCAATCCGTGTGTACTGCCCTTTGTTTCTGGATGACACGTACATCCCATGAACACATTTTTTTTTCGTTTTTATTAGAACACATTTCAGGCTAAAGGTTTTGGCAATGGCCCTTCAGTGCAGAGATCACATCCAAGTTGGATGACTGCGATAGTTGGAAATCACACTTTACAGCATGTTGTGTGAAAATACTAAGACATTTTAAGTAAATGTCCAATAATTGAGTTGACAAATGAACATTGCCAAATACATTAGTCTGCAAAAATGTTTAATATTCATTCAGCGTGTGTGTGTAATCGCCAAGCCATGCGATGGCGTCCTCGGTGGCCATGTGTAGTTCTCGGGAGACCTCCAATGAAGTTAGTCAGTGGACAGTGTTAATGATGAAAGTGGTGAATTATTAGATTTAAAGCTTAGTGTCTTGCATGGGAATGACCCTTTCCTTGTGTGCCGATCGCAGCGAGAAGGCAGAGGAGGAGACAGATCAACACCTCAACCCGCTCAAGGTTCTGCACCGCCTGGATGACTTGCTAGCGGATGACAGCATCATCGTAGCTGACGGAGGAGATTTTGTGGGCAGCGCGGCATACATCCTTCGGCCACGGGGGCCACTGTGTTGGCTGGACCCTGGTATAATTGTAGCATTGTAATAATATCATCACTGTCACCACAACCATCATCATCATCATCACAACTATTTTCATCATAAATCCTACAATCTCCATCATGTCCACATTCAAGAAAAATCTCACCAATATCACAATCTTCTTCTTCTTGGATCTTTCGGTAAAGTCACGTAGAAGGGAAATAATAAAATAGTAAAAATAAACTATTACATTTTCACGACGTTTCGGCCACAACACAAGCAGCCGTCCTCAGGTGAAGTATGTTTTCACATTTTCTGTTTAATATTCGACAAAACATTAAATTGCACAATGGTGTAGTGACGGCTGCTTCTGTTGTGGGCGAAACGTGATAATTTTATTGTTTTATTTTTATTATTTTGTTATTTCCCTTCTATGTGACTTTACCGAAAGATCCAAGAATATGAATCCCTGCAGTCACGAAAGCTTTAAATCGAAATCACAATCTTCATCACCACTTCCATCAAAATCAATATTCTCATTCTATATTAGACAAAAAAACCTACAATTAATCAACTGGTAAATTTCCAAAGTAAAAATTTGAGATATGACGTGAACAAACCTTGCCATAGACTCGTGTCAATGTTGATGTTGTATGGTCTTTCGTCAAGTTTACAGGAATATGCGTTTGTTCATTTCTGCCAGCAACCGGCATCAAACCATTAATAAGTGTTGGGAAGTAACTTTGAAAAAAGTAACTTGTTTTTCAGTAAATATGTATTTACTTTTTACAAGTAACTTTACCGCAAACAAAACTTAACTTTTTCACTATTGAATGAAAATAGTGGAATTTTATTATATTGTTACAGTTTGTATAAATAATGTCACATATTTGGACATAGATCGAACTGTACATTGTGCTCACTACACCATTGTGCAATGTAATGTTTCTTCGAACATTAAACAGAAAATGTGAACACATACTCCAAAATAAGAAAAACTTGCCTGTGAAAATTTTAGTTAAAATGGCCAGTACCATCATGCTCACACAACAATTACGCAAAATAATCTTATTTGTTAATAATGTGTATATAAATTAGAGTTCATAGTGTATGATTATTGTTATTGCTACAGCCCCCATAGCGACTTGATAAAATATGATACCCACAGATTAACGGTTATACTTGGTATATATATACACACAGAATTGACACATTCAGAAACAAGCCACACTATTCACATGATGTTGTTGGTGCTGTTTACTATGTTTCAGGGGCATTTGGAACTCTAGGTGTTGGAGGAGGGTTTGCCCTGGGAGCCAAGCTTTGCCGACCAGACTCTGAGGTATGTCAAGCAGAATTTTACTGGGTGACATTGCGGTTTTATTGATTGACTCTCTGCGGGTGTATTAAACGTAAAATATGTGCCATCTACTTCACAGTGTATGCTATAGATCACGTGATGTTGTGTTAGAAATTAGAAAAATTACCGGCATATTTCTGAAATGGGAAAAAAACACGTGGCAATTGTCACCCTCATACACTGTAAAACTTAGTACCCTCCTGAAAAAAAAATAGTGAGGCTTTCCTGGATAAATACATTTAAAATAACAATTGGAAAGTTGCAAGTTAAAATGTTGGTCTACATTCAACTAAGCCTACCATCTCTCCAACGGTCGATGAAATGTGAGAATCAACAGTGGTTGACCTAAGAGTACACTGGAAATTGCCATGGGAATGTCGAATTTCTACCGCTGGCTTAATGCCACCACCATTGCTCATTCCAGTGGGGAGACGCTTGACTTTCTCCCACCGATAATTATAATCAAATGTCGGAGAAAGCCATTGAACAACAAAACAACCCCAGCTACGTCTCATTGGCGTGTCGTTCCATGTATTGAGCATTTTTTTCCCATGAAGAATCCTCCCAAGGTTTTGCCTAAAACAGCAATGCTTGCGTGAAGTATCTGATTCGTTTGTGCGGGTGTTGTAGGTATGGATCATCTATGGAGATGGTTCACTGGGGTTCAGCATGGCTGAGTTTGATACGTTCACCCGACACAAGGTACCGGTGCTCTTCGTGCAGCTTTTTAAATTGTATGCAGGAGTGTGTTGTCAGCTGCTCTCAAAATCTCTGCAATTTATAATGCTTGGATATGGACAAACGCTTTCAACCAATCTTTCAATCCTTTTTTCTGTTTTCCATCAATGCACACATTGGTTATACAATCGCTATTAAAATGTCTTAATTTCCTTCTGTTTATCTCTGTCTTGTCATAACCAACACGCTCTTTGTAGTAAATATTAATTTGTCATAAGCTATCACAAGTTTGCTCAATGCAGGGGAGAGATGGCAGTTTCTTTGTCTTTCTGCTGCTCTGGGTGTCTTAAGTTACCTCTTGTCAATACATCCAGTTTTCTCCACTTTCTAAAACAAGAACGAAAATATATCTCTGCTGCACGGTATATGATGGAGTCTGTAAAATGTAAATGTGACACGAATTAAAACTAAGCGTTACTGAAAGGCTTCATTTATACGTACTACTCTACAAAATTACATAATTATAATTTTGCACAGTAAATACAGTAATAACAATACACTCCAGTCAACACAGTGTACTTGTCTGAGACTTTTTGAATGCAAAACTGTTTTCAGTGGTTGTATATATCTGGAACTTCTTTTGCACCGTACATAGCTGACCCTGCAGTTCGGAGGTGCGGGGGAAGGGCAACACACTGAACACAAAAAGCAGATTAACCTCGTTGAGGAATAACATCAATGAACTGAAAATACGATGCTCTTTGTGTGCGTGCGTTGCAGTTACCGATCATTGCGTTGGTGGGCAATGACGCGTGCTGGTCTCAGATTGCTCGGGAACAAGTGCCAATGCTTGGCAGCAACGTAGCCTGTGGACTGGCATTCACAGGTAACGGTCAATTGTCCCCCCTCGTGTTGTCTGCCATTGCGACTGGCATACCAGCCCAGCATGGATTGTGTTGTTCTGGAGTCAATATTGTGCTCTTTTTCCATTTTCCTTAGATTACTGTGGTGTCATTCTTAACATGCTGGTAATATTGCAATTCAGTGGCCACATGTTTAATTTGATATCCTGGCACGAGAGTTGAAACAATGGACACGTTTATTCCATCCACCTCGCCTCTCTCCACCCAGCAGTAGAAATTGGCACGCCACATTAAGTCGATCGGCAGGTCACGTGTAGTGGGGTACGTGTATAGGCGCACTCCAGCTTCTTATAAGATATCTGGTCAGTTTGGAGGAGTAGGCTAAAATACCCTTGACAGACACTCTATTGAGCTCCCTCTGAGTGGAAGTCCTTCCACTGGTAGTGGTCTGAGCAAGCAATTGCAGGGCTGCTGCTTTTACCGCCTGCCACTCCACTACCAGCACAGATAACCCAACACGGATACTTGTTCTGGAGTAAATGTTGTTCTCTTCGCCCGTTCTCCCCTCCCACCCACCAATGTCCTTAGATTACCATGTGGTGGCCGATGGCTTAGGAGCACGAGGCTTTCTCCTGGGGAAGGAGAAAGAGTCACAGATCGACGAGGTCATTAAGGCGGCGCAAGCTGAAAGTAAGCAGGGCCGCTCGTCCCTCATCAACACGCTCATCGGCAAGACCAACTTCCGCGAGGGCTCCATATCCGTGTGAATGTTTGCAGATCAAAAATATGCCACTGAGCACTTTGATCGATTCTCATCAGCAGTGATGTGCACACTGTAATAATAATGGTAGTTATATGGGTTATGCACCATCTTGGCACTCAAAGGTGCTTTTGCTCAATTATTTGAAGTGTAAAAATAAAGGAAGGGAAACAACCGTTAGAATGAGTGTTGTTAATTAAACCGATTACAAATGCAATTATGTGACTAGGAATGCAATTCAAACTTGATTAGTCTTCATGCAGAGAGGTGTACACTGAAATATAAAATGACAAAGAACCACTTTTTTGACTAAACAGGCTCTTTGGATGAATGCTGTTAGTAAAATACACTTATAAATGTGTACACACGTTACTAAGCATGTCCATACCCATTATCACTCAAATGCATACATAGTTATAAGCTAACGGGCATTTTTCCCATAATTTGCATTTCTACACACTCGCACGTGTTCGTGCATCAACTTGTGCAAAATATTGGTTTTGTGTGTTGAGAATGAGTTGTTATGGATATACTTAAGAAATTATATAGAATCCTGCTAACATCAGCTATTGATAAACAATTAGATTCATAATCAACGTTTTTGGGTTTAGATCGCGTTTATTTATACATGTGTCGTAACCCTCCACCACCCGACACGGCCAATCAGTAAAAATGTGTCACGTTGACAAAGACAAATAGTTCACTGCTTTAGCCCACCGGTGTGTTGAAGCCACAACATTTACAATTTGAGTACGACGTTTCAATTAGATGTTTGTTTTGTCATTGATGTGAGTTGATTTCAATGTTGTATTAAAATTTTATCTGGTTGAGGTTCATATTAGAGCGGTGCTGCTGTGAGCTACAACCATTACGTATTAAAGAGTATTTTACTAAGACTTAATGTTCTTAGAATAACTGACAGCCATTTATGAATCGTGAAATACTACAACCGTTAAATGTTAAAACGAAGTATTGTACTAAGGCTGAATGTTCTTCGGATAACTTGAATAATCATCAGGTATGTACGTATGTTCAACTTCTTCTGCACCGTATCTAGCCAACCGTGCTAATTGGACGTGCGCTAATACACATTCTTGTTTTATTCCTTATAAAACAAGTGATTGAGTTGCCTGCATCCCTCTGACAGAAGGACCAGTTTAATTACAATTGTGTTGTATATGATTCATGTGTTTTGGTGAGGGCTGCTTTTGTTAAATGTTCAAGTGCTAATGTCCGGGTTAGGTGTTTTTTGGTATTGAGTAAAATTTTCTATGGAGGTGGAATTTAATAATGGCACAATGGGGTATTAATGCCTTTTTAAAGTACATTTTAAAATTTAAAACGTAATGAAAACGTGGCCGGATTGCCAATGCCCTCAAGGACTCTTTCCAACGAGAGAGTTTGCTTTGGGTCAATGGTTTTATTATCCACTAATGTAAGTCATTACCAAAGCATGGGCACTGCTGGAAAGTGAAAGTCATTAAAGATCCTGTGACATTATTTGCCATGACTGGTTATTGTGTCGCTGTCACAGTTAATATATTACACGAGATAATTACCCGTTGCACCTACATTAGAAACAACTCTTTTTTTTTTAGTGCATGGCATTCTTATGGAGTGCAAGCCGGTAATGTCTCCTTGAATGTTGAAATGTTGCATTTCACCCAATTCATAGCTGTTGTTTTTCTTCACATTACTGTATCGTAATTCCCATACAATCACAATAATATCCCAATTTCTGTCTTTCCTCCTTTTATTTACTGTCGAGGACAATATATTATTTATGTACAATATTTTGGTGATATTTTTTACAGTCTACTGTATCTCATTGTACCCAGTATAATTTGTGTTACATTTTACCGCTGTACGCTAGTGTTGAGGACAATATTGTTCCGGTTTATACGCATAACTCGACCACCGCGTAACTCCACCACTGCCTCACCACCACCTACCCAGCAAGCGAAGCCAGCAGCCGAGTACAGTCGGTAAAAAACACTCAAACTATTAAATAGATTCCTTCATTTTTATTCATATATGTATTTGAATATAACTCATTAACAAAAAAAAGGTATATAGGTTGCACCGCTGTAAACGCATCCCCTTTATTCCACCAATTATCAGAAAACTTGCTTCGATTTACGGTTTTCGATATTCATTGCACTTCTCAGGAACGCATCCCCAACGTAAACCGCGACATTCCTGTATTTGTCTCCACGAAAGTTTAAATATTTTGCATTTAACAAAATTCATCATTACATGTTTTTTGTCCCATGACTATATCCATTTCCATACAAATATTAAGTTATTAGAAATGAGATGGAAAGATTATGAAAGAAATCAAGTGCAATAAAGAGTAACACCGTGTGTTACCTTTTCAATATTAAGAGCTGATTTATGATCATGTATTTTGATAATGGTGCAATGAGTCCCTTGCACCTAGCTGAACGAAGCACCTACAATAATTCCAGTTGACGGTCATATAATTTCAGAAACATTGACCACTGTTTATGTAGTGTAAGTGAAATGGCCGTGTTCCAATGATTGCAACAAAACGAACCCTTCCAACCCAGTACGATGTGCGTTTTGTAGAACGTGATCAATTGCTCTTGCAGAAATGTAAGATAAATAAATCCCGTGTCAAACGTGAAAATGTATGGGAGTTAGCCGCGCGGTATGGTTCCCAGATTTTGTTTTAACCTTTGCAAAGGATCACACAGTCACCCTTGGCTGGAATTGGGAATCGTGAGTGAGCTCCTGATTAATGACGTGTTTTGTGGAAATGTGCAACATTATCTCGTGGCTGCGTGTTCATTTTCTGGTGAATTACGACAACTTTTGTACCACACATTTCAGAGATTGACCCGAATTCCATTTAATGTTCTGGTTGAGCACCCAGAGACAAAATTAATCCCTGGGAGGATAAGTGACTTCACCATTACAGATCCTAAAAGCCAACTGATAATCTGCACCTAACTTCTCCACAATGAATGCCCTGTTTCCTTGAGGAAATGTTTGGCTTATAGGTGTACAAGTTGGCCATAATGCCCCTCCTTGTGGCTTACTCTTTAGAGGCATGATGTGGGTTCGTTTTGGCAACAGATGTTATAGAAGTATGGTCCATTCCAAAGGTCGGCACACTTTTCCATTATAAGTGCCACGACTAACGTACCCATAGCAGTGATTTATGACACGAAAGCCTGCTCCGAAGATATCAGAACACCGAGATTAAAGTGGTCTGTTGGTGCAGCAGATAGCACGTTCCCCTGCAACTTGATAGGTAAGCTTTTGCATTGACATGTAGAACGTACATGTGTATGATTAGTTTATACGGTTTGCAGCCTAGCTCGCAATGGGTCAGAGAGCCCCCGAGGTAAAACGCTCTTTGGTCCAAATACGTGGTTGTGGATGTAATTTTACATTATTTAAATATATATTGATAATTTATTAAATAAAAACTCGTTGCATACGAGCATCCGTGTTTGCATTGGTTATCATCTGAAATGTTTACTTACATTTCTATTAAAGATGCATCACTGGTGCGTGTTTCAATTCTATTTGGGCGGTATTTTAACAGTAACGTTAAACAGCCCTGGTATATCCATTGCGATCTGACCCTAATGCAGTGAAGGCCTCGAAAGCATGATTTTAAAAGTGTCCTCTTATAAGGTCGCCATCGTTGAGTCAGGTGGTTGTGAATTTGTTATCAGTAGCATTCCTGTAAATGTATATATAAAAAAAACTCGCCTACACTCCCTGTGAGATGCAATAGCTTCGTTAACAAGGATGCCATAGTTGTAAACTTTTCAACATAAATAATTACATGGAATATGTAACGATATGGCACATGGTAAAACAGATAATGGAGTGGTACATCTTCTTGGTTCTTTCGGTAAAGTCACGTAGATTGGAAATAATAAAATAATAAAAATAAAACAATAAAATAATTCTCACGACGTTTCGGCTACAACGCAAGTAGCCGTTCTTCAGACTCTGTCTTGTCGACAGACCTGTTCTCCACCTGAGGACGGCTGCTTGCGTTGTGGCCGAAACGTCGTGAGAATTATTTTATTATGTTTTATTTTTATTATTTTATTATTTCCATTCTACGTAATTTTACCGAAAGAACCAAGAAGATGAATCCCTCCAGTCACGAAAGCTTTAAATCGAAATGGAGTGGTAGCCAAAAAATCTAGTCAAGTGGACCACTGCCAATGAGATGGAGCGATGAAATCGGTTCGTGTGCAGGTGCTCGGTGGACCATCACATGGCAGGATAGTGAGAGGTCGCGGCAGCTTAGGGAGGCCTTTGTCCAGCAGTGGATTGAACATGGCTGATGATAATGATGAAGTTACAAAAATATAATTCGTAAGAGACACGGGAAAGCAAAATTCAATTAAAAACGCAAAACATAGACGTGTGTGTGTGAATATTTCATAAATGAGAGCAGGAACCTCTTGAAAAAGCCTTGAGCCTCATTTGAAGATTTCCTCTAATTACAGTAATGCACTTATGATACGAACATCATTACGGTTGTTACACTTTTTATGGTATAGAAATACAACCAGGTTTTTGACTCATCACAAATGGAATAAACTGGCAATTGAAAGGGTGGGAGAGAAAAATATATTGAATTCCCCAGAGCTTGAATGTAACATTTCTTTTAGGGCATACTCGGTGAGAATTTGTGCGTGTCAAATTACAAATATTACATTTCAGCTCTAAGATGAATAACATAAAAATGTAATTACCTATTTTCTCATACCTGTGTTATTACGTGTTGTACATTTGTGGTCCCAACAAATTATGCGTCACATTATAAATACATTGGTGAATTAAGCTTGCGTTTAAGATCGCATTACAACTCCACACACATGGCAATAATATAATTATAAAGGTTGTTAGGTCTGTTGATATTAAATGCTATAATTTACAAGGTTATTACATGCACATACGTTATTAAGTATTTCCAAATGTGTGATTCTGGCTCTCGTAACATTTTCCAAGCGCAACATTACAATGCTGTTAAAATGTATGTGCACAGATCTAGATTGTTTCACTGAAAGCTACACAAAAAGGACTTTGTTTGGAGAATAAAGCACCAAGTACGGGGTGATTAATGTGTCTGTGCACGATTGTAATGACCAACTCTTTCATGGAATATTGCAGCTTTTCTTTTTTACTTTTGTCATCTTTGTAAACGATACCGAAACACCTTTGACCCTTTATATTTGAAAGAAAGATCTTAACCATATTACAATTTTAGCAACAACAAAAAAAAACCTTGGATGTTGTCTTAAGTATGTGTCTTGAGAAAGCTCACGCAGTTGACGGTAACATTCCAATTCAACAAAAGGCAGAAACCTACTCTCTGTACTGCTTTTTACAGGAGTTTTATTATTTCCTATAAACGTCTGGGGTGGTTCATCAGCATTGATCCACAGTAATCTGGACTATACCGACGAGACAATGCGTGTTGAAACCGATGCAAGAGTTTACACGTTTTGAACTAACGCTGATGAAATTATGCACTCTTGAGATTATGCCATGGGATGTGTAAACAATACTGTAAAGATTATAAACACAATGAGTGAGCCGTTGTATTTCTGTGGTTCTTAACCCGCGGGTTGTGCCCGCTGAGGAGTGTCAAAACCTTTAGGGGGGAGAGGACAGAAGGACGCAGGCTGCGGCGTGGATACCGTGCAGGAGACGTTTTGAATGTGCAGGGGACACAACACAAGAATACACGGCGTGAAACAAATGCCTTACTACTACTACTAACACAGGACACTGCCACGTAACATGACTGGACGTGTGGATGTGTGACCAGCAACCTGGATAGCGTGGTGGGGGCGCATTGACCAGTGGTCTTGATTGGGTGGACCGCCAGCCCAAAATCGCTGAGCACCACTGCTGTAAATACACTACGGCACTCGAAATAATCAACATTTTTACTGGTAGGAACCACCTGGTTCCACCAGCCCACAGGGGATTATTGTGTCCGTCCGTCCGTCGTGCATGGAAACATGGGAGGGGTGGGGCTGGGTGGAGAGGGGAGGGTGGGGAGGGGCTGGGTGGGGAGGGTGGGGAGGGGCTGGGTTGGGAGGGAGGGAGCTGTGGGGCTTTGTGGGGAGGGGCTGGTCACCCCGTGGTGCCCTTAAAAAACTCAACGTTTAACCTACTTCACGCCGGCTTGTGCCCGCCCTCACAGTCGGCCATATTTGCGGAATACACCACGCCGCCGTTGACCCTGGCCATTGACCGAGCAACCCAACGTTCCTACCAGCTCCCTCCGCAGGAATGTGTTAAAAGACTGGGTTTGTAAAGTGACAATGGTAATTATTGCACAGGTGGTGGCGCTAACGCGCCATTATAGCGTGGCTTTCACTTGCTTCCGTACATAACAACACTGACAACTCTTGCAGACCAATTTGAAAACACCGCACCCTCCAACCCATGAAGAATTGTGGTCGCTGCCGAGTGGAAACTATGAAGGAGGGAGA